AAAAAGGTTTGATTGGTTTATCACAACATTCAATTGGTGGCCCTAACATTTAAATGAGAGAGTCCCTTATACTGCCAGTGCGCCTCCTTCTGAGAAAGATAAGATTGTCACGGTTTGTGTGGGAAACAGGACCCAAATGCAGACTTAAGTGACAAAAGAATTCCTTTATTTCAAGGCTACAGTATCTAGACACAGAACAGAACACTCACCGCAGAATGACTCAAAACACAAGACGAACCGACAAAGACAGACGGAAAAACCAGAACTGAAATACACCCAGGACTAATCAAACAAACACGAGACAGGTGAGGAGGTAGGAGAAAACACAGAGGCACCAGGTGAACACAATCGGGTAATCAGGGAGGGAAAACAGACAGAAAGCAACAGGCAGGAAACGGGGGTGAACAATTTACAAAATAAAACAGGAAACCCAAAGATAGAAAAAGACAAGACAAAACAACAACACAGACAGATCGTGACAAAGATGCTGTATACTTCAATTATATGTATCCTATACACTGTGAGCACAGTATTATAAAAACAGTAAACATGTTAAATCGGAAATGACTTATCACCTATGTATTACCCACTCATCTTTTGAAAAACCTTACTGTCAGTTTTTTCAAATACGGGGTGCCTGGAGGCTTTGCTATTTTCAGAGATTAGCAGTTCCTCAGAAAGTCTTGTGTTGGACAATAATTTATCAAAGCTACGACCAAAAGGTCATACAGACAGGAGAATCTATGCTTGCTTTGTTCACCCAACAAAACACTCTTGAGGAAAATGTCAAGGAAGCTGCCACTGAGGGGCTGTTTAGTAAAACCCAGCTTTCATTTGGCACTTGACACAAGAGCTTGAACAATATAGTTCAAAGTGATACGTGATTCGTGTCACGGCAAGCTTGTATCTTACACATCACCCCACTCCATCTCACTTTCCCCTTTTTAATGTTTGTCCTTTTAAAGACTGATTTTCAGAGTGTTTGAGTGAGCTGTGTAAACATGTTTTCTTTGTACACCACGATGGTCTCAGTGTTTCAGGCACCATCTGGTGGAGTTCAAATTATCTGGTCTTAGTGCCACTAAATTAAAGTCCACAGGGAGAAACTCTTAAATGGACCACACATTCAAATTTCAGCGTATTCAGACCAAACACACTCTATATTGAAATAATTAGGAAGACATTTCCTTTCTCTAGGGACAAGCTGTTCCTTCTTTCTACTTTTGCTAATAATCCTCATTGCTTCCCCTCTCCTCTAATAGACACCCTGTCAATGGCTGCACATAGTTATTTCAAACATGTTACCTTTGATGTTATATCAAGCTCTACAGGAGCCATAACTAATTAAGAAATGTCCAATCCAATTATATTCATTGTGTGTATGTATGCAATGCACATGTGTCTTTAATGCACCAATTGTGACTGCTCGAGAGGGTGTTTTATATCCTATGACAATGCAGCCTTACTGTAGCTAAAGCACTTTCACACCTCTCAGTGCATATATTGTGTGTGTGTCTAGCTCAACAGGGGATCAGTGAGATAGAGAGCCATGGAAAGGTTCACTGTTCTTACTGATCACTCACATATTTAACTAACTGTTGCTCTTGCCTCAAAAGAACAAGACAAATGGGCTATTTCTCTAATTAAAAATGTGTGATGGAGCGGTTCTCAACAGCAGAGCGTTATGCGTGTAAAACTTATTTTTGTCTGCTTTTTACGGCAATGTAATTATAAATGTGATGATGCATTTGTTAAGGTGTTAGTTATTGTCAAGTGTAACTGCACCATAAAGGCAAATAATACAGTGCTGTGTGAGTGCACCTCTCCATGAGGATGATATAATATACATATAATAATTACTGTTAAGAAAGAATTTTCTATGAAACACACACACAAAGAGAGCACACTTATGGCAACATAATACAAACCCCTCATTTAGGTTACAATCGTAACTCGAACACAATGCAACATACTGTTTATATACACAATCTGTAGTAATGTGTTTATATCATGGACGCATCATTAATGCACACACCAGTCTGCCACCATAACTTTGAGAATATAACTCTAACATGGAGCATTATCAGATCCTGATGGATTTCTTATTGGCTTTAGGACCTAATTGACTCCTCCATCCTTTCAGTGATGGTGCCAGTCCCTAGTGTGTGGACGTATTTGACATGCTGGGGAATGGGTTTCAGGAGAGAAGAGAATGTAGGCAAGTCAGATACATTCACATAGATCCAATACAATTAAATTATTAATTGGTCAAAACACAATGGGGCTGCTGAGCCACATACAAATACAGGAGGAGATGCCCTGGTGTTTTGGTGCTACGTGTGCATTATGCCAGATTATTGTGAAACCGCTGCTAGTCGGAGGAGTCTGCTGTGCGGTTACACTGGTTGTTATTTTAAGGTCATTTTGAGTTTTAGTGCTTCAGTTTCCGCTGAAAATGTAAACTATTTATATTTCATGTTAACTCACTTATGTTCTAGACAGAACCGAACAAAAAGGTCACCAAAGCTCTCTTGTCCACCATTTCTTAGCCTTTTTTGTTTATCATGGTCCAAACAATCCCTCTTAGTTTTTTGTATTCCTCTTCAGGTTACATTGACATAATTACGGTTAACATCTACTGCTTTTAAAACTCTGAGACTGCTGTAAGAGCGGGGCTTTCCGGGGTTTAGTGTATACTAACATTACTATATTACATAATACCCTGACATTTCTGAAAGCACCACATATAATCATCTCAAATCATAAAGCATCAAAGTATGCAAGATGCCAATTAACTTGTATCATGGCATAGAGGACTTTATTATTAAACATTGGCTTTACTTTCCCAAATGGGTAATGCCAGAAGAATGCTTCTACAAAGAATAATATTACGAACAAAAAATATGTTAAGTTTTGACATTGCAGAGCTTTTTGTAGCATCTTGTAAACATAAACTAATGCTTCAATTTGAAATTATTTGTTACTTTATTCTAATGGCTTGACCCCTGTAGCACATATGGAGAATGTTTTTTTTTGTGAGTGTCTGTTTATTAAATGAGGTTTTGATTTTCAGAGACAAATTTGGGCGATACAAGCCTGTAAACAAACAGGTTTGTAATTAAATGTAATCACGGGCCCAGGCTGAAGCACGGTGTTGTTTTTGTTGAATACATGTCATCTCTCTTAGGAGCAGTGTGCTGAATTGAAATGTCACTATTGACTGACCAGCTGCATCAAGTGATTTGGCTTTAAATCCCTTAACTATTGTGCTAACAATGTGCCTTATCCACTTAAGACTGTACCACCATGATGTAAATATCCTCATGTAGGCTTATCTCTCACAAGGTAAAGCTATAGCAACGTCCTAATGGGTGTTGTCTTTTCCTGATACTAATCCATGTAAATCATGGCGAGATAAATATCAGTTTTTTTAAATTAATAGTTGTCTGGTGGCAATCAGGAGATTTGATTCAATTGTAGCTGTCTGGCTTAAACAGCTGGACTTGACAAGCGCTACTTCAGGCAGCCCTTTCGTTGCTGTTTACTTCACAAGGTGTGACACATCAGAGTCAGGAAGACGTAGAATCCATATGAATGAACAATGCGTCTGGAAAACTGTCACTGGACAGACAGCAAATTGACACTACATTCAGTCTCAGGAGTTCCCTTGGTATTTGAAAGATGCAAACACTTGGAGCAAGCATTTCACATTTCCCCTTTAAGAAACCATTCCAATTGTTAATTGTGGCCATGTTGAGCTAACAAACCCAACTGTCCCTGTCCACTGGTGGTCCTTTTTGGTGAAAGCACAAATTCGGTTAACAGAATTTAGCTATCTGACCATACCTTAGTTGCTGACCACATGCCAAAACAGTTTGACATGAGCTATCTTGTTCCCAATCACATTTTTACTTTTTTCAAATGTTGTCTTCAGTTACTGACTGAATATCAATATCTGCATCATCATTATCACCATTCTCTTCCATCTGTTTGGGAAATGGCAAACTAAGCATATTTCAACAAAAATAAAACAATGCAACAACATCATGCTACATGTTTTATTATACATGCAATTAAATACATACATTACTTAAAGGCCACTATCAACTCTGTGACAGTATGACTGATAGGTTGTTAGCCCACAGGTTTCAGACAGCTGCAGATAAATAATAATAATAATAATAATAATGCATTTTATTTATATAGCGCTTTTCACAACTCAAAGACGCTTTACAGTATGAGGGAGGGTAGACAAACAATACAAAAAATAAACCACCCAGGTCTGTTCACCTCATTTATATTGCCCGTTAACTTGTAAAAGCTGCTGAGCGAGGGTTGATAGGATACATGACGGGTTGTTCAGCCAGAACAGCACACACCTGCCCTGCACCGAGCCCTGTGTCGAGGACGCGCTGCCCCTGGAGAACCTAGCACTAATTACACACTGGAAGGCACAAACAGATCTCAAATCAGCTCCGTGGGTTGGAAAGGTGAGCTTGACACATTGTCACATCTCAATAATTAAACTACAACTCACTTGCTGGGCTCCTAATACGGCGGAGAGCAAATGTTTGCCTTCAGTTGTTTTACACCGGAGACCAACCCGGATCAATACTGACAACAACATACCTGCTATACAAATAAATCTTCCCGATAATGCGTCTGTGACACAAACACTGTTGATGTGCTTACGCCCTCGCACTCGCTCATTCACAGAAACGGTCTTAAAGTGTTAATTTGCAAATAGACAAATATTTCGAGTTTGGATTATTCTTAAAAATAGTCTCACAACAGCAAATTCATCTTGAAAGTTAATAGTTTAGGGAATCACACCCAATAAATCACTTTATATCACCCCATATGTCTCAGTAGGTATAGGTTTGACTGGACCACCGAACCCTGCTGGATAGAAAATGTTTCACATATATTCACAGATCCAAGCAAGATAATCTTATTTTTGCAAGTTTGGCGCATTACATAGGGAAATAAATGTGTCTTACCTTCACGCCATAAGTTTGAATGAATCTTTGTTTTTACGGGTTAGATCCAAGCGCACCCCAGTTAGCTCCTACTGTATCCGTCATTTGCTTTACACATGGTTTACTCTTTGAAATGGAAACGAATCGGTGCGGCGGTTTGGGTCCGAGGCATTAGTACAGGCTGTTGGGGGACAACTACACTGGCGATGAGAGCCTGAACATAGGATGCATACAAAACATAAATAAATAAAACTGATTTAAATATTGAACTGTTTCCCGGTTATTTGGCGAAAACCTCGAGGAAAGCGTTTCTTCCCTACTGATCTCTAGAGAAGCACGCTGAAACCGTACGGTGTCTGTATGATGTCCAGGAGCTTTACGCACGGAGTTACCTTCGGCACTGACTGAGGAAGGCGAAGACGCACAGACTGTGGAAAATAAAGGCGGGGTTACATCTGTTTAAACCCTGGAAGGGACGTATATTTCCTTTACGGTCACCGTCCTTGGGGGCAGACCTTGTCACCTTATGTTTGCCTGACATTTTCAGTACTGCGTGCCAATTTACGCCACAAGCTGGATCCAAAGGATTCCATCCACTGCGGACGAGAGTGGACGAGATTTGAAAAATAAATAGTTTGCTACTAATTTAGTACACATTCATTTTAGGCGGTGAATCGTGATAGATTTAGTGCATGACGTGCATGCATGGAAAATGTGTACCCATATACACATATTAACAAATCTCTCTCGTTATAAGAATAATACATATTATAATGAGGATAGTAATAATCATCATCATTATAATGATAATTAATAATCATTATTATTATTAATAATAATAATAATAATAATAAGATATACTCGTATACCAGTAATAATTTAAAAACCCTTGTCATTATTTAATAACTGGCCTCTCAGTACCCAGCACATACAGTACAAGTGGAGAAGAGTTTGATTTTAAATACAATACTCTTGTGTCAGGACAGACTCTTGACTTTGTTCCCGATCAAAAAGGTAATCTGAGTGTCAATATGATTGCTCTCCACACTACAGCCCAGGTATTTGAGAACAGATACAACATATGATGCAGAATTGTTTATTTATGTAGTATGTCAGAAGGAGCACAAGAGCATTTTCAATAGCAGCACACATTTCTCACATTTCATAAACTGTATAGCAAATGTAAGAAAACCATTGCTGAGTGATGAAACATTTATGTAGAACCACTGGCAGAATTGTTAAGTGTATTAACTCAGATTATTTGTGTTTGAATACATTGTCTTCATTTACTGAAAACAATCAAAACCAAAGGCATTTTGAGAAAGGAAACAAAGTAATTATAGCATGATTAATTAAGACAACCACAGGGAGATAGCAAAAAGTTAAATTGCAACCCCCCAAAATCCTCACAATGAATGAAATATTAGACACTAGTGATACTACCTGACTGTGGCATATTCCTGTGTGAAGCTTTGCAAAGTAGATTTCCTCAATTCTGTGCTCTTGTGGTGACATCTGCTTTCAAGCAGATAGCAATATCACAGTTTAGACTTCTGATTCGCACATGAACATATACACACTAGGATTCATATACCGTTACAGTACACATACAAACTTGCACCGTCCCTGGGCTTGTTGTGGGAGGCACAAACACATATAACTGCTGACTGCCATAAGGCAACATTGCAGCCTGGTGCTGCCTGATATGGCAGCACTCAGTTGATGAGTGTATCTTGGCAGCATGCTAAATAAATCAGAGTAATCTAGATGATGGTGTTCAGTTCATGCTATTTCACACTAAGGCTTCACCCTTGTGTCATGCCAATAACTGTTGAAATCCACCAAGGACAGATCCACAATATTGCGTATAATCTGAATGTCTGAGGATAAATTCACTTCAGCGATGGAATTATTTTTCATCCTTATGTCGAACAGTACTTGTCGAGACAGATTAGATAGACACGCTCCTCTCTCAGCCTGGCCCAGGCACAGAGCCTCCACGGATGCCGACTTGAGGTGAGCCGGGGAAAGGCACAAACCTGGCAAGAAGGAGGACACAACTGTGACATAAAGGGTTCTCGCTCCCTCTTACACACAGCCTGTGTCCTACATTGACTAATCCTGAAAATGAATTACATTTTATGCACCAGGCACTTTAAAGTTCACCTCACCCTATAAATAATTGATGATGTTATGATGATGTTATTACTGGTTAGCACTATGGTTGACATCCTCCACTCATAACACTGAGGCTTATTCCCTGGCTGGCACTCGCTCCAGACGTACTGTGTTGAGCAGCTGCCAGTTTGGATGAGGACATGGACACCACAGGTACCACAGAGATGATGCATCACTAAGCCACCAGGGTGGGTGGAGGGGGTCTGGAGGACGGGCTTGGGCTGACAGCCCAGGGGCACGGCAGAGGACCAGGAAGGGGTCTCGGGCGGACGGCCTGGGGGCAAGGCAGAGGACCAGGAAGGGGTCTCGGGCGGACGGCCCGGGTGCAAGGCAGAGGACCAGGAAGGGGTCTCGGGCGGACGGCCCGGGGGCAAGGCAGAGTCCAAAATGGGGGTTATGGAGGGGCGAAGGCCACCGCGGGCGAACTCAGGGGGCCGAGCATGAGGGCGAGGACTGCGGCCGGAAAAGTCAGGGGGCCGAGCATGAGGGCGAGGACCGCGGCCGGAAGAGTCAGGGGGCCGGGCCCGAGGGCGAGGACCGCGGCAGGAAGAGTCAGGGGGCCGGGATCGAGGGCGAAGACCGCGGCTCTCAGGGGGCCGGGCTCGAGGGTGAAGACTGCGGCTCTCAGAGGGCCGGGCTCGAGGGCGAAGACCAGACAGCTCCGGAGGCCGGGCAGGAAGGCGCTGACGGGACAGTGCCGGAGGCCGGGCAGGACCCGGTGTCGGAGCTGGTGGGACAGGCCTCGGCAGGATCCCCCACGGAAGAGGACCAGGACACGGGATTTGCAGGATCCCCGGCAGGAGAGCAGTCGGCGGGGCCTCCAACGGCACAGTACATAGGATTGGCAGGACCCCCGGCAGGAGAGTAGACGGCGGGACCTCCAACGAGACAGGACAAAGGGTTGGCAGGACCCCCGGCAGGAGAGTAGTCGGCGGGGCCTCCAACAGCACAGGACAAAAGGTTGGCAGGACCCCCGGCAGGAGAGTAGTCGGCGGGGCCTCCAACAGCACAGGACAAAAGGTTGGCAGGACCCCCGGCAGGAGAGTAGTCGGCGGGGCCTCCAACGGCAAAGGACAAAGGGTTGGCAGGACCCCCGGCAGGAGAGTAGTCGGCGGGACCTCCAACGAGACAGGACAAGGAGCTGGCAGGACCCCCGGCAGGAGAGTAGACGGCGGGACCTCCAAGGGGACAGGAAAAAGGGTTGGCAGGACCCCCGGCAGGAGAGTAGACGGCGGGACCTCCAAGGGGACAGGACAAAGGGTTGGCAGGACCCCCGGAAGGAGAGTAGACGGCGGGACCTCCAAAAAACAGACATACGATTGGTAGGACCCCCGGCAGAGGAGTAGTCGACGGGGCCTCCAACGGGACAGGACATGGAGTTGGCAGGACCCCCAGCGGAACCTCCAACGGACCAGGACATTGGGTAGGGACTTGAGACGTGACTCGAGAGGAGACTCGAGAGGGGAACCAAGGGGGAACTCGAGAGGAGACTCGAGAGGGGAACCAAGGGGGAACTCGAGAGGGGACTCGAGAGGAGACTCGAGAGGGGACTAGAGGAGGGACTAGAGAAGGGAACTCGAGGAGGGACTAGAGAGGGGACTAGAGGAGGGACTAAAGGAGGGAACTCGAGAGGGAACTCGAGAAGGGACTAGAGAGGGGACTCGAGAAGGGACTAGAGAGGGGACTCGAGAAGGGACTAGAGAGGAGACTGGAGAGGAGACTGGAGAGGGGACTAGAGAGGGGACTCGAGAGGAGACTGGAGAGGGGACTCGAGAGGAGACTCGAGAGTGGACCCGAGAGTGGACCCGGAGAGGGAACTCGAGAAGGGATTTGAGAGGAGACTGGAGAGGGGACTAGAGAGGGGACTCGAGAAGGGATTTGAGAGGAGACTGGAGAGGGGACTAGAGAGTGGACCCGAGAGTGGACCCGGAGAGGGAACTGGAGAGGGGACTCGAGAAGGGATTTGAGAGGAGACTGGAGAGGGGACTAGAGAGGGGACTCGAGAAGGGATTTGAGAGGAGACTGGAGAGGGGACTAGAGAGGGGACCCGAGAGGGAACTCGAGAGGGAACTCGAGAGGGGACCCGAGAGGGGACCCGAGAGGGAACTCGAGAGGGGACCCGAGAGGGAACTCGAGAGGGGACCCGAGAGGGAACTCGAGAGGGGACCCGAGAGGGAACTCGAGAGGGGACCCGAGAGGGAACTCGAGAGGGAACTCGAGAGGGGACCCGAGAGGGAACTCGAGAGGGGACCCGAGAGGGAACCCGAGAGGGAACTCGAGAGGGAACCGGAGAGGGCACTCGGGTAGGAACCGGAGAGGGCACTCGGGTAGGAACTGGAGAGGGCACTCGGGTAGGAACTTTAGAGGGGACTTGAGTCGGTCGGTACGCCGACAGGACACAGGGAGCTGGCGTCGGCTGGGGAGCCAGCAGGAGACGAGGTGCCGGAGTCGGCCGGTACGCCGACAAGACTCGGGGAGCTGGCGTCGGCTGGGGAGCGAGCAGAAGACAAGGTGCTGGAGTTGGCCGGTACACCGACAAGACTCGGGGAACTGGCGTCGGCTGGGGAGCCAGCCCTGTAGCCGAAACTGGAGTCGAGCCCATGGCTTCCCGGGCCGGTACTGTAGCCGGAATCATGGCTGTAAGGTCCGGTTCTGGAGCCGGAAACATGGCTGTAAGGTCCGGTTCTGGAGCCGGAAACATGGCTGTAAGGTCCGGTTCTGGAGCCGGAAACATGGCTGAATGGGCCGGCTCTGGAGCCGGAATCATGGCTGTAAGGTCCGGTTCTGGAGCCGGAAACATGGCTATAAGGTCGGTTCTGGAGCCGGAAACATGGCTGAATGGGCCGGCTCTGGAGCCGGAATTGAAGCCAGAATCATGGCTGCTGGGTCCGGCGCGGAAGCCTGGACCCTGGCTGTGTAAGCCAGGTAATCCAGTATGGACGCAAAGCTGCGTGGGCCGGTACTGGAGCATGGAGGCATGGCTGCTAGCTTGGCTTTGCGCCTCTTTCTCTTAGCAGCCGCCGGAAAGCTCCGTGGACCTCCATAAGCCAGACGAGTTCCAGCATACGACTCCTGGACAGGAGCAGGAACTGGGGCAGAAGCACTGGCTGACTCCAGACGGACCACACCGAGACGTGTGTAGTCAGCAGGCTGGAAATCACACACCCAGAGGAAGTTCAAAATCCAGCCAGGCAAGAACTTCACCAAGTCTGGTTTCTCCATAGCCAACCGGTGTGCCTCTACCAGAGCGGCCTCCCTC